CAAGGGGGCCTGTTGAATGGCAAGCAGCGGGGAGGAGAAGAGGCAGAAAAGGGCACCCCAGCAGCTGAGCATGAGCAGAATGTGTGGGGCCTTTGTGCAGCTCTGACGTCCTACTTAGCCTTACACTATCAGTTTCAAGCTATAACGACCACAGCATTAACATTCTCAAACTCTAACTAGGTCACACCTTTCTTTCCTCTTCCATGCTGTTGAAGAGGAACCAGGCATCCTCCAGCTACCCTTGACCCGGCTTTTGATGCTGGATCGCAGACCCTGCATTTGTCCTAAGCCGGTAGTTCGGCGACAGGACCTGCAGGCCACCCTTCTGTTCTCCAGGGTCTTGAGCCAGAGGCTTCGTTCAGCTGACACGGGGGCCTTTCGCCTGCTGATGCTGGCATGGGACCTGCCCTCTTGGCCATGCGATTGCCACCAGGGGCGTCTAATTCAGATGGCCTTCATCTTCATGGACGACAGCCCCATTCAAGGTGGTTAGCTTGGAAAATGCAGTTTCCTCCTGCTTGGGGGCAGCCTGTGTTCTGATAGCAGTGGGGTGGGGAACAGCGTGTGTGTGCGTGTGTGTCTTCCCCTTCCTGCTGGTGACCCCCCCAGAGGCAGCTGGTCAGCCACTGGGAGAAACGCATCCTGGGCCATGGTGGGCCTTGGCCTGACCCAGCAGGCGCTGCGTCTGTCCTTGTGCCAGGCAGGTGCCCTTGACCCTCCCTCGAGTGACCTGTCAGGCAGAGACTCAAGTGCCAAAGTCAAACACTCCCCGGGTCCCTGGGGGGAATGGCAGAGCCGGAGCCCCTCCCCGACCACGTTCCCATTCCTCAGCCACGCATGACAGGCAGCTGTTTTACTGTCTTTGCTACCTGCGCTCATCCATCAAACCCATCGATCGGACCCCGCTGGAGTTTTATTAATGATCTTGTCAGTGGCCTGGTGCAAAAGAGCAGGGGCTTGTCGGGCGTGATAGATCACAGAGCGTGCCGGCTGCTATTTATTCTCTAGTGACCTTGTCTCTCCCCATTGTGGCTTGCTTAAGAGTTATGAATGTGAGACATGATAATTTGATATTGATCTATAAGGTAAGTGAAAAAATTTACTGCGTTGCTGATGTTTTAACAAAGGGGATGGTCCCATCCTTCCCACAGGCAGGCTGGCATGCAACACTTCTTCCTGCCATCTGGCCCCCACTGGGCGATTTGGGGGGAGGAGAGAACAGAGATGTTGAATTTCCTCCCCTCTCAACCATGTCCTTCCTACCCTCGTGTCCCCCAGATGCACTGGACTCCAACTCCCACAATTCCTTGCCAGCCTCCAGCACACCTGGAGGGCATTTGGGGTTGAGGAAGGGTGCACGGCCAAGAAGGATGGAGACCAGTTGCGCTTGGCAACAGGGTTGCAACTTCCCTCACGGGGCTGCTCCCAGCTCCGGTTTTCAAAAAATAGGCATCCTGGGAATTGTTATTTTTTAATGTTTCCCCCCCTCTGCACAGATGTTGAGGCTAACAGCGCCAAGATCTCCTCCAGAACCCCAAGCAACGAACGAGCTACAAGGGGCTGGCGGTGGATCGTCACCTGCCAAGGACAATGGCAGAGGCCACGGTGCGTGCAGGCGAAGGCATCTGACTGGGGTCTGACTGGCTAGCTCTGGGGTCAAGCAATGCCAACTTGGGAGTCTGGGCAGCGTTTCCTAGGGGTCTCCTCTGTTATGCCTCCTGATGACAGAAGGCAGGGAACCCAGAAGAAGACAGGCAGCCGGCTTCCATCTTAGCTCTGGGCTGCAGGAGAGACGATGGCCAGCCGCAACCTTCCCTGGCCTGGGGCCTCCCAGAATATCCACCCGCCCTGACAAAGGGAGCTGTGCTCCCAGGACTGCGGGAAGAAACCCCGTGGTGACGGCTGCTGTGTTAGACGAGGGTCTTCAACTTTGCCAGACTGCTTCTGGCACTTCGCTTGTAAGGTTTCAGAGCATGGAGCGGACCACCTGGCAAAACCTTCTGAAAGAGGAAAGCCAAGGCTCGCGGCGAATGAGACCTGGCTTCAGACTCACACACCTGAAACTCTTGCGTGACGTGGAAAGCAGCACAGTGCTCCAAGCCACGCCCAGAGTCAATAAACACTGTAATTCTAAGCAGAACCCTGCAAGGTAGCCATTCGTCCCACCTGGGGCACCCCAGACGTGTTCCGCCACCACTCCTGCGATGTCCCATCATCCCCAGCCAGCACAGTCGGCAAAGGATGGAGCCCAACCATCAGGGGTTGGCTGGGAAGGTCCCAGCACCGAAGGCAGAGAGAGAGGGAGACGGTGTGCCTGCGCTGGCAAGAAAGGTTGGCATTTCTTTGTTCTTCCCCAATCACCACTTCCTCCCCTCCACCAGGCTGCATCTGTAGCCAAACAGAAGGAGCGTGTGGTGGAGCGTGCAAAAGGACAGATCGCAATTTACAGAGGGTTATTAACTGTCCCCGTGCTGAGATTACATTCCTCTAATGAAGGCCTCTTTTACTGCACCATAAAAATAGTGTGTGTGGGGGGGGGGGGGGGGGATTCTTCAAAAAACAGAATGCAGGAAAGAAAAACATAAAGGCTGGTGGTGGGAAGCCGTGGAGGGGCCAACCCAGGATGCCGAATGAACGTGCCTGCCCGTGCGAAAGCAGCGTGTCCTCTGGGACGAGCCACACAGGAATAGGGACGAGGGGCCACAGTGGTTGATGCAAAGCGAGAAACGGAGCCGCCAGGCCCCGTGGGAACCTCTCATGAGCATCACGCCAGAGCAGAGGGGAAGCCGTGACCCCTGGAATCCCTCCGCAGCAAAGCCTTTGGGGAGGCCCCTTGACCGGGAAAGCACGGCTGCCCAAGGGTCTAATTAGACGAACTGGGACCCGCTGAAAGTGAAAGGAAACAAAAACAGCTGGGGGAGAATCCACAAACTTCCCTGCTAACTAGAGGGGATGATTTTGCTTGGGGGACTTTGCAGCTTTTCTAAGAAAACAGGTATTTCAGGTCCCGGAGCCAGACCGTGCCCTTTTGGTTGTGGGCAACTAGCCATTCAGTGATGAAAAGGTGCCCTGTCTTACGAGTCCAAATCCCAGTTTGCAAAGTCGGCGGGGCCCTGCCAAGCATCCGCTGCAATTACTGCTCAGAAATGGCATGGTGGAATGTGCCCTTTGGTGGACGTGCCCCTCCCCTTGGCATTCGCTGAGCATGATCGCAGGTTTAGTTCAGCCCTTCTTTCAAGCAAATAAACTTTCCTGGACGGATGAACGGTTTGCGGGGCAGGTATCCTTCGGATTTCCTGATTTTTTGATGCACACAAACTCTCAGCTCCAAAATGCAAAATAAGTACCATACAAGTAAAGGCACTTAGAAATGCGTACCTAGTGAGAAATGTGCTCAAAAATGGAAATGTAAAGATACATTTAATACAGGTTTTTAAAAAGTCAGAGTTGCGCAGAACAGCATGGAAACGCGGGTGAGATGACATGAACAGACACGAATTCTGTTTTGACCGACTTGCCTCTCCTGTAACACGCACAACTCCACATCTGATTCCTTGGCTCCAGAGGTGCATTTGTGTGGAGGGGACGAACTTCCAGTTGTGCGGAGGGAGGGAGGGAGGGAGGGGTCACGCCCACGTCTGTTCCCATCTTTTGCAAGAACGCCAGAGGAGGAGGGAGGCTCAGGCAGGTACGCCCGTGCTCAGAGAACATTCACGGCCTTCTCGTGCTCTAGCGGAACCAAGAGGAGGCCTCGACCAGGGAGGCCGAAGCTTCCGTTCCAACACCCTCCCTCGGGGGCTCAAGCCAAGCCAGGACCTCTTCCCCCGTCCCCCGCAAACCCTGCATTTTCTGTAGGCTGAACTTTCTGCCGGTCAGGAAAGAGGTGGAGCAGCACAAAGCCTGGCTTACGGTTCAGAAAATAAACCACAGGCCCGGTTCGGTCTCACAGATGATGAGCTAAAGGCAAGTTGACCCGCGAGGAGGAGAGTCAGGTTTTGAAAGGGAAGAATCCAGCCCTTCCGCCACGGAGACCCTCGTTCTGCCTCCCCAGGCTGATGCCTTCACAACGCGCTGTAGAATTGTCTGAGCAGCTGCTTCTTATCCACTTTGCCCATCTGGTTGCGTGGAATTTCCTCCACCAGGAGCAGTTCAGAAGGGATGGTGTAAGATGGCATGGTCTCCCTGGGACACAGGAGGACACACTGGTTAGCAAAGAGGCTGCCACACCTCTTCCACCTCCTCTCTCCCGGGACACACCAGGAGAGTTAAGCCCTCAGCTTGGCTTATGAACTGTCCATCCCACAAGGGTAGGAAGCAGAGAGACAGGCGAAAGATTCAGAAGCTCCCTCTGGCATTCGGACGCTCAACTGTCCGAACTTACACATGCATCTGAAGGCCTACTGAAGGCCACTGGTCATGACAAAAGCTCACCTTTGTGCACCCTTCTCTATTCTACCTTGCTATCTATTCGGAGTGTCACAGATCCACAGGTTCCTGATCAAGTTGTTGGATGTAGAACTGAAGCAAGATATTCATGCTACTTCTTGGGATGCAGAATGCCCTTGTGGATTCAGGTGTGGAGATGGTCTCGACCTGAGATAGCTATAAAAGCTGAGTCATTGGTTGTAGTGAAAACGCAGGACCCTGAAGCACCTTAATAGACATGCTAGAGTCCTTAAAAACTACAAAACCCTTTGATGCTCCTCAGAGGAGGTCCACTCAACTAGCCCAGAAGCAGCTCTCAACTCCAAGGGTCGCCTCAGTTGGCAGCATCAGATACCGTTTGCCATAGAGGTGGGGAACAAGAAGAGGCACGCTCCAAGAGGCAGGAGGCCAGACTAAAGGGCCTTTGGTACGACCCAACAGGACCTTCTGATGCTCTGGGCAACCAAGTGGGCCAATGCTGATGCGGTTTTCTCCTCTAAATGGCAGATTGTGACAGGCTCCCAGAACAATGACCACTGTACCCACATACAGTCCTCTTTCATCCCCCAATCCCAGAAGCTGAGTCAGTCAGCAATCAAAGGGTGTGAGGTCTGTCTATCCGGAGAAAGCCCCTCCAAGGAGCAGAGGGGTCACTTTTAATGGAACCTCATTAATCCTCACAATTAGATATGGCAATAACAGCAGATGACCAATGGTCAATATTAAGTATGGCGAAACTTTGCCAGCTCCGCCATGCAAATTCCAGATGGGCAGGTGCTTCCTCACACTCCAAGCCAGGAACGTTCCTTTTGCACTCAGGAGCTTGTGATGCCCGGAGGCACAGCATCGTCTTCCACCCACCAGAGACTCAGTACGATGTGAAGTCACCTTGCCCTCTGCAAAATGGTGCACGCACACTTTTTTCTCACAACACTGCCAACTATGGGCCATGCCCAACCCTGCCAGGTTCCTTTCCAGGCACAGAGTCTAAAGTATCAGGACAAATATAACCAGCATCTCATCTCCCCCTATCCCCACAAGCAAACAATCATTTCTTTCAGATTTGGACACATTTGTCACTGGGGGGAGAACAGAAGGCCCCCAATGAATTGCTCTGAAGAGGGACATGTGTCTTCCGCCAGAGAGAGAGGACAAAGCAAGGCAGAGAGGTGGAAGATAAAGAGGGCAGATGGGGAGGAGAGGGAGGCCTGGGAGGGGAGGCTAGGGTAGGGCAAAAGACCCTTCCCGGGTGTTCCAGGCTTCTGCTCTGAGATCCATCACCTTCGAGTGAGATCCCTCCTGGCTGCTCTCCTGCTTTGGCATCAAAATTTGGCAAGAGGGCAAAGAGAGGAACTTTCAAGAGGAGAATACTGGCACCTTCCCTTTCTTCCTCAGCCCCAGCCTCCCGATTCAAGCCCCAGAGGTGAAGGAGGTTACATTCTTGATGAAATCTGCACAGGATCCCTCACAATGGCCACAGCCAGTTTGCAGCTTGTGCACCCACTGGCAGTCTTAAAATGTCACTTTTTTTGGTGCTATTTCTTATCATCCTCCCTACAGACAGGGAAGAAAAATTCACTGCTCTCTGTACTTTGGGGGTTCAACAATAACAATACTTGCTGTAAATCTTATTGTTAGGATTACACATATTGATGGCTGCAGGATAATACATACACAAGGCCTTTCCCTCCAGCGCCTGTGTGGTTGGCACTCTGGAGGCACCTGGTTGTCCACTCTGGGAAGCAGGAGGCAGGATCTGTGCCTGCTTCACTCTTCTTAGGTTCTTATAAAAGCCACAGAGAACCAAGGAGTTCTGGTTTGCACTTGGTTTTGAGATCAGAGACTGATCTAGCTAAACCTGGTGGTTGGTCCAAGGCCACAAGTGAGGTAAAGCCTCAACACCACATGGAAGAAGGTGCCCAAGATCTTCTGGTCTCCACTGCCACTTGACTCAGGAGCAAGCCCCACGTTAGACATTGGGGGTGAGAGGAGTTTTCCCTGGGGAAGGTTGATGGACTAAGTGCTGAGGTTCCATTGTGGCCACTAAACATCCAGAGCAGTAAGTCCTGAGTGAGCAACTCAGGACTTCTTTGGGGGCTTCTTCCACTATCTACTGAGGACCCACTGATCCAAAGCCAGAGGGAGACTCTTCCTGATAGCTGCTAACGTACCCTGTGTCTGGGCAGCACAACACACTCATTCACATATCCTGCCAAAAGCATCAAATGTAGATGCTGTTGGGTATGTGCACACATGGAAAGGCAGCCAACTGCTTTAGAAAAAGGAGTTCACAAGCATTATTGTAGCAGAACTAGTGACAGCTGGGGTGGAGGCTGTTTTCATCCCCTCTGCAGCTAAGAAAGAGATTCAGGTTAGTCTTTCTAGAGACCAGCCCCCCAATTTAGCCTCAGTGGGAAGAAAAGCAGATGGTTCAGGAAAAGAAATGCAAAGGCATCGTTGCATTGTCTTGAAGTCCCCTGGTTCCGCTTGAACCGGTTCTGGTGCTCTGACTTACCTCGCCCACTTCTTGAGGTCCTGGAGAGACAACTCCTGGCCCTTGTGGAGTTCTACCACAGCGCTGACCTTCTGACCCCAGACAATGTCTGGGGCACCAATCACAGCAACATCTACCGGAGGAGAGAGTGGAGAAGAGCCACATTGGGAAGAAGGGCAGGAGCAACTCTTTCCTACGAGAGATCTTTGACTCACGGGTGAAGATGGACCCCAATCCCAGGAACTTTCCAGATTTACCTCAAGTTATTCAATCAGTTAGTTAAACTAATCTTAGGATGGGAGGCAGATGGCTGGACCTGATTTAATTTGTGCTAACTTTTATATGCAAGTTATGCTTGTGTTCATCTGTCTTTATTTAACTTTATGATCTTTTAAAGTAATTTCTTCACGGCATTTGAAAGAGGCCACTTCACCTTTTTGCACTGGAGAACCGGCCTGGTAGAGAGAAATAGCCAAATCCTGCAGCTTCTTGGTAAAATGCCATGTACATAATTAGCACTCCATTAATCAACAGCAAAATGGCAGAGCACAGACAGCACCTGCAATGCTAGGGTGGGCCAGCAGGTGGCGCTCGACCTCCAGGGCGCTGATCTTGTAACCGCCGCTTTTGATGATGTCAACTGAAGTCCGTCCCCTGATCCAGTAGGTGCCTTCGCTGTACACCACCGTGTCACCTGGGGAAGGAAAGGGGTGTGACGGACACCGTTTCTTGGCACGGGCTCGAGGGCGTTCCAGAGCCAGGTCGCCACAGCTAAGACGCCCTTGCAGGATGCTGAGCTCCCAATGGGGGGACGCAGAAGGGGGCCCTCTTGGCTGGCCACCAAAGCTGGATGCAGCACATGCCCTCTCAAGGGCTTTGAGTCCAGCCACTTAAACACGACAGCCCCTGCCACTGTTCGCATCTCTTCAGACGCGTTCGTGCGTCTTTCCGTTCCCCTCCAGTTCTGTCTGCTTGACTCTCTTGGACCTGTGAAGTCTTTTAAGATCAAAGGGGGATTGGGGGCTTTGGTGCAATGGGCTTGAGGCTTCCTGCTTCAATCCCCCCTAATGGATATTTTTTGCAGGTATTATGGGGTCACACGGTAGGATTAAGTGCAATCTATACAGCTGCTGCGCTCTAGGAAAAATGGAGGGCACCAGGGGAATTGGAATGGCCTTCTCAAGAAAGCTTCCTCCATCTGTTGATGGGCTGAGCCACTGCGAGTGTCATAATGATGGGACACAAAGACCCCAGAGTGGTGAGCTCTTTTCCCCATTCCTCCATCAGCCACATAGCTGCTCCCCTCCCAAGTGCGATCCTTCACGGGCCTTTGCTGAGGCAGAAGCTGGAAACTGGGTCGCTCCCTTTCGAATTTCCTTTGCTTGAAGGACCAAAGACTCCTTCAGCAGCATGACGTCTCCTCCCTTGGACAAGATTGCCTGGAAGAAGCCCCACCCCCCAGGAGAAGCAGTATTATAGCATGGAAAATCCCCTTAGAAGGTCTTCTCTGAAGCAAGCTAAAGCTGCAGCAACTCTTAGGGCTTCTGCAGTGGCTTTCATCTGAGGGATCGTGCGAGGATTGGGGAAAGACAAAGAACTAGCAGGGAGCAGCTGATGGGGCTGGTCAGACACAACGTAATGGGTGAAGGACATATCCTTAAAAGCCTGCATGGCATCAAGTAGGGGCAGAGTAGCATGTGGACCTTTTTAATCTTTGATCCAACCTTTTCTGGATGACCAGCAACGAAAGAGGGTATCCCTCTTGGAATATTCACCAAAACATCTTGGAGCTCCAGGAGGAAGCGTTTTTCAGATCTTTTTCCTGCCAAGTCTGACCAAAGTGCCATGGAAATCGCCCTTGCAACCCAACTGCCAGGTTCCCCAAACCCCCAAAGAGCGAAGGCTCTCAGATAAGCAGCTTTCTCTAGAAAGGAGGGTTTTCATCTGTG